GGATGCCCCATCCCTGGAAATGTTCAAGGTCAGGTTGGACGGGGCTCTGAGCAACCTGATCTAGTTGAAGATGTCCCTGCCCACGGCAGGGGGGCTGGACTAGATGACCTTTAGAGGTCCCTTCCAACCCAAACTATTCTATGATTTAGGCCAAAGGAGACAGGTGTAAATGCCCTGAAGTAGGCTGTCTTATCACTTTGTAAAGTGCTAGGTGAACTAATGCACATTTTTATGGTGCATTTTAACTCTTCAGAAGTGGCAGACAAAAAACACCACAAGAGCTAATGTCAGGGTGGACGACAGGAGGTGGGATCAAAGATGCTTTCCATCTAGCGTGATGTCTGGGATTGTCATGGCCCTATCAGCACGTCTCTGTGTCAAAGTGTGAATTCTGTTTTGTTTTGTGGATCCCATTCTGCTTTACATTCTGCACTGTCACGTTCACAGTGCTGCAACTCTTACCCATGGTAGCATCTGGACACGTTGGGAAAAACCCACATGCTGGAGCAGTTGTAGCAGACGAAGCCAACAAAACCCATCAATCCTGAACGTCTGGAACAGTAGGTATGGTCATTGGCTCTGAGACTTTTACAAAGAGCAGTTTACCAGACAGGACCAGAGCCTGAATCTACCCCAGCAGAGGAGAAGAATCAAAAGGGACCCCTCACTAAACCAGTGTATACTGTAAGACAGGAAACATTCTCTGATGAAGTATGCAAGAACCATGTTGTCTAAGGGCAGTGACTATACCTGCTACTCAAGAGAAAAGACACAGAGGTTCTCTGGAGTCATCTGCTTTTTCAAAATGTCAAAATTCTCAGCACTTTCCGGAGTATGCCATTTCCGGCAATGGACAAGAGATTCCTTTGCAAACCCTGTCTTCCTTTCCTCTCCCCTGAGGATTTTAGCTCAAAACCCAAGCTCACGCATGCTGCATGATTTGGGGCTACTCTGGTGCTCTGTTACCCAAAAAGGGGTGGGAAATCTGTACAGCAGGATTCTGCTGCCTAAGAAGACTGCCCAACAAATGCAGGAGAGAGTCCTGGGGCTACTGCCTGTGACTGAGAGTGCTTTGGAGGTCCTGGGCCCTCATTAGTGTTACAGCTGTAACTCAACTCTTTACTGGGGAAACCCGAGCTGAGCTTTGCCAATTCACCAGACACCCACTTTTTGCAAACAGAAGAGAGCATGTGGGCCAGCTGGGAACCCATACACCAGCAGGACACCCAGCCTGGATAAGCAGAGGGTCAGAAACTGCAGCCTGGTATGCCATATTCCAGCATTTAATTCATACACATCCCGAGAGACCTGTAAGTCAGAACAGTGCCTAATGACTTCCCAGACCATGCAGCTAGTGCTGCAGTGACAGCACACTGCACTGGCTGCAATCAAGTGAACATGATTGCTCTCAGCTAGTCACCCCCAGCTCCTTCTCCCTGTACCCCCCTTGATGTCATCCCTCCCTCAGATCTGCTGCTGTAATTGCTGGTAACAGCTTCCTTAACAGGAATAGAGGCATGGCCCTCTTTCCAACAGATGCCTTTTGCACAATTCCGCTCCAGAAGTTACTGGATGGCTGGTTCACTGCAATTGCTCCTGTGTGGAATTCATACCTGTATTCAGCAACTCCTCCTGCATGTTTCTTCATGGCTGTATCAGAGCTCATTCCATAGAAGAGTTTCACTTTCTTGCCATTCTTTTCCATAATCTCTCCAGCACACTGGTCATGGCCTGCAAACATTCCTCCAAGCATGACAAAATCAGCACCGGCTCCTGTGATCAGCAAAAAGTGACACATAATAAATCAGGGAAGGGAGAAGAGGCTGAAAGACAAAGAAAGAACATAGTGGCCTCCAAAAACAATAGCCAGCCCTAAAGAGTTTGGTACAGATAGTCCCCTCCTGTAATAGATGCAGCAAACTTGGAAGAAATGCTTTACTGAAGAACTGACAGGTTGAATTGTATTTCTCTAGTGTTTTAAATTGAAAGAATCCTTTTCTGTTGTGATGACAAAATATAGATTATTCTACTCCACCCCACACTATTTTCAAATTCAGTTTTAACCCTTTACTTCATAACAGTATCTGAGCACAGTTCCTTATTAACTACTGTTGTGACTGCAGTACTCAGAAGCCCTAATCACAGGGCTGGGACCTGTTGAGCTCAATGCTGTACAGAGAAGAAGACAGCTCCTACTTCAAGACCTTTCTAGGCTACAAGCTGTGAGTGGGAATGTACCCTGAAGGAAGGCATACTCATGAATGTAATGTACTCCTCCCAACACTGTCATAAAACAAGCAGATTTTTTAATGAAATGATGGATTTTTCAAGTCCATCAGCCATATGTGTTCAATGTAGGTCTGGGTGATCCTTTGTCAAAGAGGTCTGGATGGGTCTGCACTTGGTTCCTGTTGTTTAAAAACTCTGGGCCAAGGACCACCACCCCTGGTTTCTGTGGTTCTCAGTGTGCACCACAAAGGAGGTCTAACCCATAGCTACAACTCCTAAATATGTTCCAGATACTGAAAAACAACAACGAATACTCAATCATGCCTGTTCAGTCTGTCCATCTCCCCTGGCTTTGCAAATCATGAAATCAGTTCCACTGGGAGTAAGATCAGGAAGAGGGTTTTTGGAATCACACTTGATTTTCTACTGTGATTTCCAGTATTTCCAGCTGGGTTGGAACTATTCCACCAGCAGCTCTTCCTGTGATATTTTGGCATATCTAGTCTTGCTTGGAAAAGTTTGGCTTTTACTCTTTTATGAGCCTGTGGTGACCCATCCCTGAAACAAAGCATTTTCCTGTTCAGACTCTCTGCTTCTTCAATGTATGTGTGTCAGAACAGGCCTCCCCTCTACCCAGCTTCTTCCCAGAACTGGCAAAAGAACAGGGCGATAAACCTCACTTCATAGAAAGCAGATGAGCCTGAACTAACCCCACCCTGTTATCAACATGTCCTGGGGAGATCCCAGGCTAGGTTAAGTCTGGCATTAGGATTTGCTCTGATCTCTGTCACTATCCAAACAATAGCACTGGACCTTGAAATCTGAAGAGTAAGTGAAATCATTATCAAATCTGCTCAGCTTCTGCCATCTGTTTAAAAGCTCTGTAGACAAACCTGAATTTGGGAATATTTTGATCTTGGAATACATGACAACTGCGGAGTGTGCACTGACTTATAAACGCCAGTTCCTTCCCTCCACTCCTTTGCCAAAGAGCAGATCTAGCAGCAATGCCTGGGAGCAGAGCACCCAGCTGCTCTGCTGACCTCACCTCCCTTTGCCTGGTTGTTGTCTGAAAGGAACAGTATGTCCATGGTAAAGGGATATTAAAAATGAGGCTTGTGCAAAACTGCTGAGCACATCACAAGCAATATTTATAGCCAGGCACCCATTCAGGTGTCCTATCATGCCATCTACCTGGCAGATTTTTCCTGAGCTCTCTTGTTTCAGATGGCTGAGTTTTAAAGCCTGTTTGACTCATGTCTGATACTACTATCAACCTGCCAAAACCGAAGGGAACGCTCATCCTTTAAGACATTCTCAATTACTGGTGGGGAGGTCCTGTTGTTACCTGGCACAATCTTGCTTCACCTTTGCAAAAAATAAGTACTCTGGGAAATCTAGTTGATGTCTTCTTCATGGGTGGAAGAAAACAACATGAGGAAGGAGGGACGGATTTGGGGTCAAGGTTTCAAAGGGGGCGTTTAAACAAGTCAAAGGCCTGCCAAAGGACACTCTGGACTCTTTGCCTTGTCAATACTATCCCCTGATCCCCAGTTCTAGTCCTGTCTCTGGTTGTGGGTCTCACAGCCTCCAAATTATTAATGCAAAACAGTCACATGAAATCTACACTTCAGAATCACAGAATTTTGGTTCCTGTGCACTTAAGTATCTTTTATTATTTTTCTTTTGACTGCGTATTTTGGGAGGAAAGCAAATATGTTTGAATTACAGGATTGAAAATCATCCAACTTGAGTAACTTTTGCAAACTACAACATAATTCATCAAGCTCTTCCAGAAGAGAGGACCTATGTTACAGCAGACGCAGCACGTCTAAACATTGGAATGACACATGCTTACTGCCCTGCAGCTCCAGGAATGACAAGCCCATATTAAATATACTTTTCCAATGCTCTCCAGAACTTTCCACCCAGCTTCAGTGTTGCGAAGATGTCTGAAAGTTTCAAGTCTGTTCCACTACTTTTCTACCAGATAATATCCAACCAGGAGGCTGTAGTTTTTAGCATGGTCTTTCTTTACTTATGCATGGGGTTTTGTATGACCAGAAGCATTGGTGATGTTTGCAACACCCAGCTGCAGTCTTTCGTTTTCAAGTAAAGATAGGTTGTGGGGGGCCATTTTAGGTTGTGGGGGACTGGCAACACCTAGCAACAACCCCCTAGATAATACAGGATGTGATGGGGTACGTTGCATACAAGCATCCCAGTAGCTCACCTAGAGTTTGCTAAACTCGTCCTGTTTCTACACAATGCCACTTCAATGCACTGTCTTCCCCCTTGAGGCCTACGCTGTATCTGGGCTGATTTCCTCATTCACATTTCACAGTGCCTTCTCTTTTCAGCCATTACAGAATATGTGTGCTGACACCACCCCAATCTTACAGCACTCACACAGTTCTGCTGGATCTGTATGGAGTCCCTCAGATGTCTTTTGTATGCCTGATAATACAAGTTACTGATAACCATATTGGCTCTGCACAAATTCAGCTGGAGTCAGCCTGGATTTCTAGCCTGGGCAGCCCTCCAGGCAGATGCAGCCTAAGTTTGCCTGGACCACAGCTGGCCCTGGAATCAACATTCACCTGTGCTCCAGCTGAGCCAGCAAGCCTTTGCAACTGTAGGTATACACACACAGCTATTGAAAATAGGAAAAAAAAGCCAGTATGATCTGTCAGGTATATTTTGGAACCAGTATATGTCCCCAGTTGACTTTTCCACATGATTTTTCCTTCCTTTTCCTTCCCTGCTCCTGTATCTCTTCTCACCACTGCTGTAAGAACAGCAGTATTGTGTTAAAGATGCTGGCGTAGGATTCAAAAGGCACATTCTGTTCCTGGCTGTGTCACAAAAATATATGTGACCTCAGGCAATTGAACTTAGTATTTCTGAGCTTTGACTTCTCATCTTTAAAAAAGGATACAGTAGTGCCTCCCTGGGGCATTCTGAGAAATGTGTTCATCTTATCAGCCTTTCCAAGGGTGCAGTTATGTGAACCATCCGAGAGCCCAACACAAAGTTCTTTAATGCTTTCTCTCATTCCTGCATCAAAACACCTCTTTTCTTCCTGATCAACCTACATCTTTTCCATTATCATCTCCAGTACCCAGATGGCAGCAACATCTTCAGTTTCTCATCCAGCAGTTCCAGAATTCCAGCAGTCTCTCCCAAAGTATCTGTCACTCCCAGCATTTTTGTCCCCCACTTTCAGTGCTTCTCTGTTCCTTGCCTTTTCAAATAGGCTTCTACCTTGTTTCCCCTCTGTCAAAATGCCTAATCTGCCTCTGACTCCTGACACCAGTCAATGGTGTCACCTTCCACTTGTAAAGCTTCTCAGCATCTTCTTCATGGTTCTTCACAATTCTTCACTTGCACTCAATCCACTCTACTCCTCCTGTTCCCATGAACTTGCCTCCTCCAGTCACATTTTTAGCCATTTGTCAATGCTAGTCTTCACATCTGGGACTCCCTCACACTTTTAATAATTCAAATGGCTGCTTTGTCACTGCTTTATAATCATAGAATCATAGAATCATTAAGGTTGGAAAAGACGTCTAAGATCATTGAGTCCAACCGTCGACCCAACACCACCATGCCCACTA